ATTTTCCTGTCTGAATGTCTACCCTTATAAATGTACTCCTTTGGATGTAGTATTGACTTTTTTCAATGGTTTCCCCCTCACCCTACACACTTTTCTAAAAAACTTTTTTCCACTACCATGATTAGGAAAGTTGGGGCAGGATAGAAAAGATGGAAATTGTTGATCCGGACAGACAGCCTCGTTTAGTCAGTTAATTACACTCCCAATGTGTCATAACTTAAACATCCTGTGAGCCCAGCTTCTACTCAGGAGGAGATGGTTGGAGATGTTGCCCTTTTATAATACAAGTGTCTAAAGAGGCATGAATCCTAAAGACATAAATAATGTGAAAGGCCCTTCTCTTGCCTCTGACTGCATAGGGTGTCTGGGGAAGTGGAGAAGAGAAGGCTCTGGGATGGTGATTGGGAGGAGGTGAGTAGGAAGATACCTATCATCATTTCCCCAGGGTCAACTCTTCCAAGACAGTTACTACAATTTGATACTACTTTCTGTCTTGTCTTCTGAATTCCTTGAGAAATATTTTAATTTTCTTAGCCCAAGGGTGTTTTTATGTTGCAACGAAGTTAAAGATATGGACTTTGCCTTTTTACTCCCCCTAAGATGAAAAACACGTATCTGTTTCTCATTCTTCCTTTTGAGTTAGTGAAAGGTTGTTAAGACTTTCTTCTTAAAACTTGAAATGGAATTAAAACAGTCATTTGATCATCTTTGAACAGATTCTCATTAGTCGATACCAATAACTGGTTTTTCTGAAAACATATGAAAAGTGGACTGATACTTACAAATAACATGGAATTCCAGCAGAGAAACAAATTCTTGGACACCTCTTTAATATTCAAAAGCAGGTTATGTCTTATATTCTTTTCTTGATGCATGTTAGTACATAAGGTATAGAGAAACATTTGTTACTGCACTTAATGATAGTTGGTATGTACTTTATTTCTTCAGAGATCTAATCAAGATAAAGTTAATTGATTATTTCACTTGGTTCATTCACTACATTTCCAGAATAGTGGCTGACTGAATCATCCACCCACAGCACACACACACCCCATTTCTTTCCTAAATGTGATATTAGGGAATCAGCATAGACTGGTTTTTGAGGAATAATGGATCTCCTGCTGTAAGAGCTTCAGGGAAAGCATCAGTGGCCTTAGGGTGAAGCACCCTTGTAGTTCTACCTTTTAGAAAAGCAACAACACAACAACCTACAGATATTCTCACTGAATATACCTTACCCTAAGCTATGACTCTTACTTGTCCCCATCTAGGGGAAGGTAGCATCCCATCAGGTGCCCTTCCACAAAATTGGTTATAGATAATGAGGTAGCTGAGATTGCTGGAAGCTATATAGTCCAAGACCCTAAGAACCTAGCCTCTATCGGGGCAGGCATATGAGCTAGATTTGTGTCTAATGAGAGTTAGTCCAGGAATCAGAGTTTGAATCATAGGCAAATTGCTTTATTATTTTTTAATTTTATTTTCTTTATTTATTTTTAGAGAGAGGAAGGGAGAGGGAGAGAGAGATAGAAACATCGATGAGAGAGACATCAATTGGCCACCTCCTGCATGCCCCCCATTAAGGATTGGGCCCAAAACCTGGGCATGTGCCCTGACCAGGAATCAAGCCAGCGACCTCTTGGTGCATGGGTCAATGGTCAACCACTGAGCCACACCGGCCGGACTATTATTTTTTTTTATAGTATAGTAAATATATAAACCAGTAACATAGTCATTCATTATCATTATCAAGTATTGTGTACCATAATAATTGTATGTGCTATACTTTTGTACAACTGGCAGCACAGTACATTTGTTTACACCAGCATCACCACAAACACGTGAGCAATGTGTTGCTCTATAACATTAGGATGTGATGGCACCCTTGTGCTTCAGCCAGCTGGAGCACAAGCACTATTATGAGATGGACAGTTTCCAGAAGTGACCTAGTTAGTACCTGTTCATTTAGAGATGTATTTAGTACTACTATCCTTGTTCAATAAATCACTCCTGTCTTGTGGAAAATAGATTTTTAACTCAGTGGATTTTGTTGTTGTTGTTTTTGTTAAAAACTGATAGTTTATTTAAAAGATTGATTTAAGCTTCTGCAATAGTGACTTCAACCTCAGCTCCTGGCTCAATACTGATGGAAGTAACCTACTTAACAATCTCAGAAGAGCTGTGCAAGTCAATGAGTTGCTTGTAGATCCTCGTCTGAAACCGATCCCAAGTGTTAGAACCCTCCCATAGGGAGTTTTTCTTGTACTGATTCTGAGAGTCTTGGTAGGCATCCAAACTGGTCCTTTCACTTTGAGATTTTTTTTCTTTGCACTTCTGGTCAATAACACCTTCTCTCAAAGATTTTACAATGCGATGCAGCTGATTAAAGTAATTCTAATTCAGTGAATCACCACCTCTGGTTCCATGGGTGTCTTTCTGATACCTTTATTTTTTTTCTTTTTTGTTAATCTTCACCTGAGGACATTTTTTTCCATTGAATTTCTAGACAGAATGAAAGGGAGGGATGGAGGGGAAGAGAAAGAGAGAGAGAGAGAGAGAGAGAGAGAGTGTGTGTGTGTGTGTGTGTGTGTGTTGATATGAGAGAGACACATTGATTGGTTGCCTCCCACACGAGCTCTGATCAGGATGGGGATGGAACCTGCAACCCAGGTAGGTGCCTTTGACGAATCACCCTGGACCCTGCAGTGTGTGGGCTGATGCTCCAACCACTGAACCACACCAGCCAGGGCATTTCCGGTACCTTTAAAGGCCATGGATGTGACTTGGCTTCCTGATCGACTTGTTCTTCCATGGTGAGAGCGAATAGCAGTGAGTCAGGAGCGTGCGGGAGGAGCTCCAATGCAGCTGTAACCATGTCTTCCTCAAAGAGCTCAGTGGATTTTCTTAAAGCTGTGTTCTTTGTATGTCTGGATTATCCCAGTGGTATGTTTAAGATCTCCAAGGCTACTGAGTTAACAATTTTATTATATTGTAATATCACCCAGTACTAATTCATAAAAATGTTCTTTAAATCTGATATAGGTGAAAACATATTGGGCCTGCACATTGATGAGTGTATAAGGTATATTGGATATTGTCCAGGGCATAACATGAACAAAATCCATTGTTTCTAATTGTTAGTTGTTTGGAGAACTGACAGATGACATTCATGGACCTGGCCTCTTCTTCCATGGCAAGTGAGGAGGGGTTAGCACAGAGGGTAGGCCAGATCTGTTTCATTTTCGTTACCAGTCTTCATTTGGTCATGGGATTGAGCCCAAAGGGTGCCTAACCTTTCCAGATCTCCTAGGCCCTCCTTGCTCTGGTCAATAACAAGCATTTATTGAGGATGTGCTTACACAGTATGCCAAATGCTTTTCTTTTTAATCCTCATCCGAGGACATTTCCTTTTTTCTTTTTTTTTTTTTGGTTCAGATAGAGTGGGAGGGAGAGAGAGGAAGAGAGAGAGAGAGAGACATTGATATGAAAGGGACACATCGAGTGGCTGCCACCTGCACGACCCAACCAGGGCTGGAGACAAACTGCAACCGAGGTACATGCCCTTAGGGGGAACTGAACCCAGTCTCTCGGGATTGCAGGCTGATGCTCTAACCACTGAGCAAGACTGGCCAGGGCAGCCAAATGCTTTTCATATGTTACTTCTTAATCCTCACAACAATTTAATAAGCTGGAAGCACTTGTTTTACAAATGTACAAACTGAGACTTAGCATTTAAGAATTTTGCTTAAGAGCTGGGACTTTGGAATATTTTCCCAGTATTGTCAGGAACTATGTGAAGTGCTAGAATTAAAAACTGAATGTGATACAAAGCTCCTTTAAGGAGCTTATAATTTAATGGAAACAGATACATTAACACATAATTTCATTTAAATGTGGTAAGTGTCTTAACAGAAATACGAGCACAGAAATTATGGGAGCCTAGAGGAGGATCATTACTTGAGCTTAAAGGTTATAGAAAGGGATGTTCACGTTGAGACTTGATGGTTTAGCTACAGTGACCCTTGCTACTGGGGGTATATTATTAGACTGCCCTAGAACTAAGAATGGAGAACCCAAAGACAGTCAGGCCCAGAATATTTCTGGCAGGTGTTTGCCAGTCTGCCTCAGCCCAGCCCATTTATTATAGATATTTCTAACCTCTGACCTTTTGGGCTGATAAAAAATAGCTAAGTTCACAAACAAACCAAGACAATAAACTTGGATGTATGGACCCAAAATGTTTTTAATCTAGCCCTGGACAGTTTGGCTCAGCAGTTAGAGCATCGGCCCATGGACCAGAGAGTCCTGGGTTCAGTTCCCACTAAGGGCACGTACCTCGGTTGCAGTTTGTCCCCGGCCCCAGTTGGGGTCGTGTGGGTGGCAACTGCTCGATGTCTCTCTCTCACATCAATGTTTCTCTCTCTCTCTTCCTCCCTCTCTCCCTCCTGCTCTATCTGATGATAAATGCAAAAATGTCCTTGGGTGATGATAAAAAAAAAAAGTTAATTTAATTAGTTAAGTGTTCAATTTCTTAAAAAGTACCATTACTTTTGTGGCTTAACTTTATTAATGCAATATAATTTTTTAAAGTTATAAAGTATCAAGTGCTGAATAAATGGTTGTTCAATAAGTTAATGGATAAGAAAATGATATACAACAAGGGTCAACAAATTTTTTTCTGTGAAGGGCCAGATTATGTTTTAGTCTTCATGGGCATATAGTCTCTGTTGCAACCACGTGATGCTATTGTAGCACAAAAGCAACCATAGATGTGAAGTAAACAAAAGGGTGTCACTATGCTCTAATATTATTTACAAAAGAAGGTAGCAGCTTAGATTCGGCTGTGGGCTGTAGTTTACCAATCCATAATATGTAGCAGTCAATACTTGACCTAAGTTACAATTTGCTTCTTATAAAATATATGGTTTTTTTGTTTTTGTTTTTGTTTTCTTTTTTGTTGTTGTTTTTTGTTTTTAAATTGTATGCTTAATTATATGCAGGTAACATATCTGGGGAAGGAGCTTTTAAAGTATGTTTCTGAAGAAGTATCCATACCTCCAGAACCAAACTTGGTACCTCAGCAACATCAGCCTTGTCTTCCAGGTATGTACAGACCAACACTCATTTCCTAGTTTTAAGAAAAACCCACACACCTACTGGGAAAGCACTCCTCTTCTTTTTTTCTGTCTTCTTTTTCATTCAGGTGAAATTCACATAACATTCATATAACCATTTTAAAGTGAACGAGTCAGTGGCATTTAGTACATTCACAGTGTTGTACAACCCCACTTCTGTGTAGTTCTGAACACTTTCATCACCCCAAAAAGAAACCCTTTACCCATTCAGCAGTTACTCCCCATTCTCTAGTCCCTACCAGTCTGCTTTCTGTCTGTATAGATTTGCCTATTCTGAATGTATCATAAAATGGAATCACAGTACACAGGGTGGGGCAAAAGTGGTTTATAGTTGTAAGTATGCAAAAAAGTTTCTTCTTGTATTATTATTTATCATTATATTATTTTCTATACAGACAACTGTAAACTACTTTTGCCCCACCCTGTATAACCTTTTGTGTCTGGCATCTTTCTCTTAGCATAATGCTTTCAAGGATCATCCACATTGTAGCATCTATCGGTATTTCATTCCTTTTTATGGCTAAAATCCCATTGCGTATATATAGCACAATTTGTTTATTCTTTAATCCTTTGATGGACATTTGGGTTATTTCTGCTTTTTGGCTATTGCTATGAATACATGTATATTTGTTGGGTATATGTTTTCAATTATTTTGGGTCTATACTACCTAGCAGTGAAATTGTGATATCATATAGTAATTATATGTATAACTTTTTGTGGAATAGCCAAACTGTTTTCTGCAGCAACTGAACCGTTTACATTCCTACAAACAACGTACAAGGCTTCCAGTTTTTCCATGTCCTCACCAACACTTGTTATTTTCTGTTTGTTTATAGCACTCTATTTTGTTGTTGTTGTTGTTAATCCTCACACAAAGATTTTTCCATTGATTTTAGATAGAATGGAAGGGAGGTAGAGAGGGAGGGAGGGAGAAACATCAATGTGAGAGAGACATATCAATTGGTTGCCTCCCACATGACCCCAAGGGGGGCCAGGGATCAAACCTGCAACCCAGGTACATTCCCTTGAGCGGGAATTGAACCTGTGACCTTTTGGTCTGAGGGCTGATACTCCAACAGCTGAGCCAAACTGATCAGGGCTATAGCACTCCATTTTTGTTTATTTATTTTTATACTAAGTACTTTTATTTTATTTTTTTTATCTTTATTGTTGAAAGTATTACAGATGTCCCCTCTTTTTCCCCCACTGACCCTCTCCTCCCCACCCCCACCACCCTCCTGCTTTCCCCAAACTATTGTTTGTATCCATTGGTTATGCATATATGCATATAAGTTCTTTGGTTTGTCTCTTCCCAACCTCCCCCATCTGTTCTCTCTGAAGTTTGTTAGTCTGTTCCCTACTTCCATGTCTCTGAATCTGTTTTGATTATCAGCTTATTTTGTTCATTATATTCCATAAGTAAGTGAGATCATGTGGTACTTGTCTTTCTCTGACTGGCTTATTTTGCTCAACATAATACTCTCCAGGTTCCTTCCTGTTGTTTCAAAGGGTAAGAGATCTCTTTCTTACCACTGCATAGAATTCTATTGTGTAAATGAACCACACAGCCTTTTAATCCACTCATCTATTGATGGACACTTGGTTGTTTCCAGATCTTAGCTATTGCAAATAGCACTGCTATAAACATAGGGGTGCATATATTCTTTCTGATTGGTGTTTCAGGCTTCTTAGGATATATTCCTAGAAGTGGAATCACTGGACCAAATGGCAGTTCAGTTTTTAATTTTTCGAGGAAACATCATATTGTTCTCCAGTGGCTGCATCAGTCTGCATTCCCACTAGCAGAGTACTAGAGCCACCTTTTCTCTACATCCTCTCCAGCACTTGTTGTTTGAAGATATGCGATGGCAGCCATTTTGGCAGGTATGAGGTGATACCTCATAGTCGTTTTAATTTGCATCTCTCTGATGATTAGTGATATTGAGCATTTTTTCATATGTCTCTTGGCCGTTTGTGTATCCTCTTTGGGGAAGTGTCTATTCAAGTCCTCTGCTCATTTTTTCAAATACGTTTTTATTGATTTTTTAGAGAAAGAGGAAGGGAGAGAGAGACAGAAACATTGGTCAGCTGCCTCCTGCACACCCCCTGCTGGGATTGAGCCCATAACCTGGCATGTGCCCTGACTGGGAATAGAACCAGGACTCTCAGTCCATAGGATGACGCTCAATCCCCTGAGCCACACCAGCCGGGCCTCTGCCCTTTTTTAAAAAAACTTATCTTTATTCCTGAACGTATTAACAGATGTTCTTTCTTTTTCCTCTACTGCCCCCCTCCTCCCTGCTCCCACCCCCCTCTTGGTTTTCCCCACACTATTGTCTGTGTCCACTGGTTATGCATATATGCATATAAGTTCTTTGGTTTATTTCTTCCTACCCCCACACCCCTTTCCCTTTGAGGTTTGTCAGTCTAACAACCAATTTAATCCCTTCACCTTTTTCACCCATTCCCTCAACCCCCCTCCCATCTGGCAACCAACAAAATGAATCTGTTTCTGCTCTTCCTGTTCATTTTGTTTATAAATTCAATTGTTGATAGATATGTATTTATTGCCATTTTGTTTCTTCATATTTTTTGTCTTTTTCTTCAAAAAGAATGTTCAACATTTAATATAATACTGGTTTGGTAGCGATGAACTCTTTTAGCTTTTTCTTGTCTGGGAAATTCTTGATAATGCCTATCGATTCTAAATGACAGCTTTACAGGATAGAGTAATCTTGGTTGTAGGTCATTGCTTTTCATCACCTTGAATATCTCTTGCCACTCCTTTTGGGCTTGCAAAGTTTCTTTTGAGAAATCAGCTGACAGTCTTATGGGAGCTACTTTGTAGGTAATGGACTGCTTTTCTCTCGCTGCTTTTAAGATTCTCTCTTTGTCTTGAATCTTTTGCATTTTGATGATGATGTGTCTTGGTGTGGGCCTCTTGGGGTTCATCTTGTTTGGGATTCTCTGTGCTTCCTGGATTCTCTGTGCTTCCTGTATGTCTGTTTTCTTCACCAAGTTAGGGAAGTTTTCTGTCATTGTTTCAAATAGGTTTTCAATTTTTTGTTCTCTCTTCTTTTTCTGGCACCCCCGTGATGCGAATGTTGGTATGCTTGAAGTTGTCCCAGAGGCTCCTTACACTATCCTCATTTTTTTGGATTCTTTTTTCTTTTTGCTGTTCTGATTGGGTGATTTTGCTTCCTTATATTTCAAATCGATGGCTTGCTTCTTGGCTTTACCTACTCTACTATTGAATCTCTGTAAACATTATTTCAGTTAGTGCCTCCTTCATTTCTGACTGATCCTTTTTTATGCTCTTGAGGCCCTCTCTAAGTACACTGAAGTTCTCACTAAGTTCATGGAGCATCCTTATAAGCAGTGTTTTGAACTCTGCATTGGTTAGATTACTTACCTCTATTTTGTTTAGTTCTTTTCCTGGAGTTTTGTTCTGTTCTTTCATTTGGGACATGTTTGTCTCTTTTTCTGGCTGCCTCCCTGTGTTTATTTCTATGTATTAGGTAGAGTTGCTATGTCTCCTGGGCTTCCTAGGATGGCTTATTGTAGTAGGTGTCTTGTAGGGTCCAGTGGCACAGCCTCCTGGTCTCCCAGCTGGGCCCTCAAGGTGCACCCCTTGTGTGCATTTTATACCCTTCTGTTGTGATTGAGTCTTGATTGCTGTTGGCACATCAATGAGAGGGTTTCACTCAGGCTGATCAGCTGTGAGGACTGGCTGTGCTCACTATCTACCAACCTCTGACTACCTTGGATGATGAGCTGTGCAGGGGTTCACCACACAGAACAAGACTTACTTCAGCAATGCTCTGGTACCCACTGAGTCCATTCCTTGAGTGTGTCACTTGTGGAGGTAGTTGGGTAGTGGTGGTTCACAGTATTCTAAAGCCGTCCACTGGTTGTGCTGGCCCTGGGGCAAGGTCAGCCACTACGTGTGTTCTACCCAGGGCCATCAGGCATAAGCTACAAAGTGGTCTGCAGATGGCTGCTTCTGGTGCTGGACTTGGAGGTGCCCAGGAAAAGCCAAGTTGTGAATCAAGGCTGGCTGCTTCTAGTGCCAGGCCTGGGGCCACTTAATGAGAGATATGGGGCTCACTGAGACCAGATGCAGTCTCGATGTAGTTTCCTTGATTTTGTAGTTGTAGGACTTCCATTCAGCTTGGTTTCAGGCGGTTCTGAAGGATGGTTGTTCTGTAGTTTAGTTGTAATTTTGATGTGGTTATGGGAGGAGGTAATACCACGTTTACCTACTCTGCCATCTTAACCAAAGTCTGTCCCTCTGTCCATTTTTTAATTGGAATTTTTTGTCTTCTTTTTGTTGAGTTGTATGAATACTCTATATATTTTGGACATTACCCCTTATCTGATGTATTATTGGCAAACATGTTCTCATGTTTGTGGGTTCCTTTTTCATTTTGATGCTGGTTTCTTTTGCTGGAAGAAGCTTTTTAGTTTAATGTAGTACCATTTATTAATTTTTTCCTTTGTTTCTCTTGCCCTAAGCAATGTATCAGTAAGAAATCTGCTACATGTGATGTCTGAGATTTTGCTGCCTATATTTTCTTCTAGGATTTTTATGGTTTCACGACTTACATTTATGTCTTTTATCCATTTTGAGTTTATTCTTGAGTATGATGTAAGTTGGTGGTCTGGTTTCATTTTTTGCATGTACTTGTCCACTTTTCCCAACATCATTTATTGAAGAGTCTTTTCTCCATTGTATGCTCTTGCCTCCTTTGTCAAATATTAATTGAGTGTGCTGTCTTCGGTTGGTTTTGTAGTATAACTTGATATCCAGTATTATGATTCCTCCAACTTCGTTCTTCTTTCTTGAGACTATTGTGGCTATTTGGGGTCTTTTGGTCCCATATAAACATTTGGAGTATTCTAGATCTATGAAATATGCTGTTGGTACTTTAATAGGGATTGCATTGAATCTATAGATTGTTTTGGGT